GGCCCCCGCCGCTCCGTCCCGCCGCCGGCCGCTGCGCCCCTCCGGCGCCTCCTTTTGTTTGTCCCTCACTGCACCACTCAGCCTCCTCCGCCCCGGAAATGACGTCACCGCCGGCGCGAACACGGAGGCCAGGGCGTCGCCATCTTTTTGAGGGGCGCTCTCCACGCACCTTCACGCCCACCTCCCGCCGGGGGCTGGCGCCATGTTGCTTGGGGGCGGAAGTAGCGGAGCCGGGACTCGGCCCCCTTAAAGGGACAGCGACGGCTGTAACCTTCGGGGTGCGCCGGGGGACGAAGAGTGGCGCGGCCGAGGCGGGGGTGAGTAGCGGGTGCCTGGGTGTGGCTGCCCGAGGTCGGCGGGCCTGGGGATGGTACCGAGCTCGACTGGCCCGAGTACTCGCTGCCTTCGGTGCTGCTGGTAAAACTGGGGGCTGCGCGGAGGGTTGACCCAGCTCGCGGGAGTAAGGCGCGCGCGCGCTCAACGCTGGCACTCGGACGCGGGGACCCTCGGGTTAGTCCTTTCTGCACCCACATCCCCACCTTCGCAGCCATACCGGCGGGGAGCCCCGGCTGGAAGCTGCCCTCATACTCCAGCTCTCAGCTCTGGGGGTCCCTCGTCCTCCGGTTCCCAAACTGATCGTAGCAACCGCGTTCAAAATAATCCGTCCCGCGGAAACGGCCCTAAAACAGAAATGTTGTATGCACCAACATGGGCCGGCATGCTCCACTGTGGAGCTCCGCTGTACCCCACGGTTCGTGGAGGACGCGTTGGGGTGCGCGCCTCTGTGGTGCGCGCACGGCCATCTGGAAGAGCCCCGGAGTGGTTCGCTGTGGACGGAGGAGAACTGGGGTCCTGGGTACGGGGCAAGGGGCAAGAATTGGCTACCGCGGGCACGGTCTGGTTGTTTCAAAAACTGGATGAAGAAGAAGATAGGGCTCTCGCCATCCAGGGCTTAGCCCGCGTCTGGTTTCAGTTGTCAGCTGGGAGGTCTTTTCTGCTTTTAGAGGAGGAACTTCAGGAGGTGAAAGGGCTGGAATTTGAGCCAGAGGGTTTTAGCACTCAGTTCCAGCCTTCTCCCTACCTAGAAGTTTTTTTTAATCAACATTCAGCAGCCAGCTGGCGACCTGGCACTCTGCAGTTATCCAGTAACTGCTAATTGGCTGTTTACTGGGCCAACAGGTGGAATACATAGGAGCCAGGCTGAAGTGTGGAGTGAGCACAGGCCCAGGCCAGTGCCTACGGCTGTTCTAGCCTCCGCTGTTCTAGCCTCCGCTGTTCTAGCCTCCGCTGTTCTAGCCTTTGACTGTTCTAGCCTCCGCTGTTCTAGCCTCCGACCGTTCTAGGCTCCGACTGTTCTAAGTTCTGGCTGTTCTAGGCTGCAACTGTTCTAGCCTCCCACCGATCTAGCCTCTGACCGTTCTAGGCTCCGACTGTTCTAGCCTCCGACTGTTCTAGGTTCTGACTGTTCTAGCCTCCGACTGTTCTAGCCTCCGACGGCTCTAGCCTCCTCTAGCTGGTTGTGACCCGCCCCCTTTCTGTAGCCAGCAGGTCTGAGTCACTCCAGCTACATAGGAGGACTCGCCCCCACCCCATCCCTAACACGTGGGTCCATGTCCTCCACTGCGGGGCCCCTGAAGCTTTCCCATATCCTCACCCCACGTCTTCATTCCTGGACAATGGTTCAAGCTCAGACTCAGAGGTGGGGCGCCCTGTGCTTTTCTAGGATTCCGACTTCGGGTAAGTCATTTCCTTGATCCGAGTCCGTTCCTCGGGCTGTAGAGCTGGTGGGACTCTCGTGTCCTGCCTGGTGTGGTGTATGAGCGGAAGTATCCCCAAGAGAGGCAGTGCAGTCGGATCTGGGTCCCATGCCAGGAGGGAGGGGCTACCTACAATCCGTCTCATTCCTGGGCCCCCCGCCTCCCCCCCGGGACCAGACACCCAGTCTGCTCCAGATGGCATTCCCCTCTGCTGCCAATTCCAAAGTCACAGGGTTGGATAAGCCTGAGGGCCTGCCCCATCGCTGCAGACAGCCTGCCCCACCCCAGCCCAGGGAAGCAGCCATCCACGCTGGAGTTTTCACCAGAGGCTTGTCTCCTAGATACCTACTCTGCTTTTAGATACAAAGTGAAAACCAGGATTGCTTACCAGAAAGGAGACTTTGGTTATTCATGCTGATGGAGAGCCTTAGAGATTTCAGTCAGTAGCTCGCTGTCACTGGCAGGACCTGGGTAGAATGCTTTCTGTGGAAGATGGGGTACTTATTAATGTCTCCATTCTGTGGACAAGACAAGGAAGCTGAGCCTCAGAGACTGGAATGGCCCGATCAAGGTCCTGTCGCTGGGACAGGGGAGCCTGGTCTGTTTAGCCAGGTCCAGCTCTATGCGCTCAGCTTCTGTGGCAGTCTGCACAACAGACTGGTCTGCCGGGACACGCTTCCCCAGACCTGCAGTGACTGGTATTGTTTTATAAACTAGGGGGCTCCTAGCAGGCACGAAACATCCTTCTAGGCCCCCAAACCTGCCCTCTAAAGAGTTACTCACCCCCAAATACCAAGTGTGCCACTGTTGAGAAATACCAAACCCAGCTGTCCTTACTGCAGAGAACTGACAGGTGACATGGGGCCCGCCGGCAACGCCAAGCTCACCTCACCCGCCCTCCACACCGCCACGCAGGCAGAAGCTGGACAAGGCATGGCTCCCGTCCCCGAGAGGCTGACGGACTCCTGCAGATGGGGGCAGGTGGAGGTGGCAGCACCCATCTCTGAAAGGACTTTTGGGGGAGAGTTGGGACCTTGGAAGCAGGAAACCAGGGTCTGACCCCAGCACGGGCACTCTCTGCCTGGCGAGCCTGCTCTGTTCTCTCGAGCAGCTCGGGCACAATGTCGTGAAGACTAGAGGCTCCAGCGTGGGGGCAGCTCAGAGTAAGTGGCTTCTGCCTTCAGGGGAGTCTTGCCGGGGAGGGCCTGGGTCAGCCAGGCAGCTCGGGCAGAGGTGGGCGGTCTCCGTTCAAAAGCAAAGGATTTGCTCCTTCTGAAGAGTCAGCGCGTCTGTGGCAATGTTGGGCCCAGACCAGTTCAAAGGCTGTGCTGAGGTGGCCGTGGACTTTCCCCCACACCAACCCACACTGCCTGGCGAGGCCTGTCCAACAGAGGGATAACTGACATCAGCCACCACAGGGGAACAAGAGGCCTCCTGTCGGTCACGAGTGGTGGCGCCTTCCGGCCAAGGAGGGGCCAGTAACGGCCAGGCTGGTGGAGGCGTGTGCTGGGGGCGGGCACTGGCCCCTGGCGCCTGGGCTGGCAGCTGGAGGCCTGAGTGATGAGACGCCTGGGGAGCTCTGCTGGGTGGTGTCCAAAAGGTCATCTGGTGCAGTCCTCTCTCTCTAGGCGGGTGGCCTCCCGGGTGCTGCCCAGGGGCTGGGCTTCTGTGAGGCTTCTGTTTAAGCAGTGACAATAATGATGGCATCTGCTGGTTCTCTCAGGCGCCCTTGAAGTGATTTTGTGTGTGATCTCTGATGCTCTTTACACCCCTGTGGCAGGGCTCATTATTCTCATTTCAGAAATGATATTCAGGAATGTTTAATCATTGGGCAGAAGTGTATAGAAGTGTATTAATACTGAGGCTGTGGAAACATCCTCGTGCCAGATACGTAATCAAACCATCCTTGCTTTGGAGGCGACAAGAGTCACTGGTCAGTTCAGTGTCAGTCCCTCGGCTGGCATGTTCTACTAACCGAGCGTGTGCATCAAGTAGGGATTCTGCCACTTGCTCTTCTACCCACAACTCGCTTTGAAACTGCCAGACATGCCGGCGGGCTGACAGGCCCTCTCACCTCCTCTTTCAAATCCTGCCACTGCTGGGTCCTTCAGCTCAGACAAGCTACAGACGCTCGGTTGTGCTGCCTCCTGTCACCTTCCCTCTGAGGCAGAAACACCTCCAGCTGCCCTGTCTCCACAAGGCTAATCCCGAGCGCCCCCTGCTGGCAGTTCCAGGAACAACGGGCTCACCCACCACCTCCACCCAGCACCCAAACACCTCCCCTCCAGCTTTGTCTTTAGAGGTAATTAAAGCATTTATATGGACTCCTCAAAGTACTGCAGGCACTCCGTCCCTCTCTCCCCAGAAAGTCTGAGGGAAAAGTCTGCCTGCCAGCAAGGGGGAGCAGACCCACACTTCTCACCCATGTGCCATGTCATGGCAATTGGGGGTTTGCACAGTGCCTGCTCTCAATTGGCATCTGTCAGGCAGTAATGAATTGTCATTTTATAGGGAAACTAACATTCAGAGAGGTGAAATGGCCTGCCTCGGTTCACACAGCCAAGGTCTGCCTGGTACAAAGCCTTTGCCCTGGCCCACACCTGGGTGGCGCTCAGAGTTGGGCAAGCTGACCTGCCGCCCAGGAGCACACCGCCCTCTGCCCTGGGGCCCCTGTGGGGAAATCCCAGCCTGCTTTCCACCCAAGGCCCTCACCGGAGCAGACCACCTCCAGCCCCAGGCACCATGGTCATCCAGTCATGGGCCCTACTGAGTCTCTCCAGCTGGTCCCAGGCCTCTTGCACCGCCCTCGCTGTCACCCATCCGGGCCCCAGCAAACCTTCCCTTGCTTGTTGTGTCTCTTAATCTAGAACTGACCCAACCCCCAATCACGCCTTTCTTTTTCATGGCTATGTTGACACAACTTCTGAGAAGGGATGGGCTGAGACAGACAAGAGATTTGTTAGGGCAAGATACTTGGAGGGCTTGGGGAGGGGGCAGCAGAGGAAGCAGGCATTGGCGGGCTCTGGCTCTGACCCCCTTGGCGGTGGGGAGAGGGGAGGTGGGCAGGCTGGAAGCTTCTCAGACAGCACTGCGGTTCTCAGAAAGTCCCAGGACCAAACAGCCTGCCTCAGAGACTTGGGACCATTGACCCCCTAATTCTTGGGTCTTTGAACGAGGACTGGAGCGTCTAACATTGGTTCACTGGTGTTTAGACCTTGGATTCGGACTGAATTATCCCACCAGCCTTCTGGTTCTCCAGCATGAGCACTGCAGACTGAGGCACTGATTGGTCTCTAGCACATGTGAGCCAATTCCTACAGCGAGCCTCTGAAGTGTGCCTGCAGCGTTCTGTTTCCCTGGAGGAGCCTGGTTTTCTAGAAGGGTCCTTACGGAGACCTGCTGTCTCTGCGTGCTTATCCATGCTGCTCTTTTACTCCTAAAAATGTATCCTGGTTTGGACAAGAAATTATTTTATTCTTTTATGATAGTGATGTCGTTGCATACCTTCACTCCCACCATTTTTCTTACAATTTTTAACCCATGTAATCCCTTGAATAGTAGGTTAAATAGTATTACACTCATTTACACTTTAAGTCCAAGACCCAGCGCTAAGTTGGAAGAAGGGCCTCAGCACGAACGAGCAGGCTTTAGAGCAGAGTCCCTCAGTCATCAGGCTGCTGGGCGTCACAGAGACCACAGCCACCACACCCAAGATTTCCCATTTACTACAGAAACGTAATCTAGGAACAGCTCGATATAAGACACGAGATGCACAGATAAGGCATGGCGAGAAGGCGCAACTCCCATGCCTCTCCAGGCAGGTCCTGTTGGTTGTTTCTGGAGGCCTTGTCACGTAGGCGGGTTGATGACATCATTGACCAGGTTAACTGATCAACCTCCTCCATCCGCACATCTCTCCCTGGGAGTCTCAGGGGGTGGGACAGAAAGTTCCAACCTCTAATCACATTGCCAACTGCCCTGGCAACGAGCCCCTATCCAAAAGTCACTCTTCTGAGAACTGGCCACTGGAACTCTGAGTAAAGGCCAAATACTTCGAAAAAGTTTATTTTGGTCATCTGAATGACCAATGTATTGTTTTCTTATAAATCACAAGATCACGGGGCCCTCTGTGGGTCTTCACCTGGGTGATTCTGGCATTAGTGAGGACTCACAAGGTTCAAGGCCACTCCGGTTGCTGGAGGGCAGCGGGGAGGAGAGTTGATCAGGGTAGTTGCAAAGACTGAGGGGTGATCGTGCAAGAAAGCACTGGCATATGTCACTCTGCCTGGCACCCATGACCACTTGCTAATTATTAGCCTTTTCTGGCCAGGGCGCTCGCCTCCCTCCCCTGCCCCGGACACGCCGGCAGTGTCCCTCAGCTCTAGGAAGCATGTTCAGGAATGCGGCAGCCATCTGTTTGCACCTGGTGGGGCCCCTCCAGGGAAAGAAGGCTGGAGCTTCTGCCGCCCAGTGCTTGCACCAGACTGTAAGTGCTCTACCCCGCACTCTGCCCACTGCATGCCCTCGGGCTCCTAGCGCCTGCCTTGGTTCTGGCTTCAGCCCATGGGTCTCCTCTTTCAGGAACCTTCCCTGGCTGCAGCCTGGACAGACCCTTCCTTTGCCCTTGTCTCTAACCTAGAACTTGTAGCTCTGCATGCGAATAGCTGGCAGCTGTTGCTGCCGCCCACGCCCAGCCCAGCACCCAGCACCCAGCAGATGCTCCGTAAGGGGTGAGCAAGTCCACAGCCGCAAACTGGCACTGGTTCATCACGCAGATGCCGTGACGCCCGAAGGTCTCTCCTTTGAGTATCCCAAGTGTCCAGGGTTCCCCTATATTTTTATTTCCTTCCTAAACTCAGCCTTCTCCTCTCACCTCTGTTCTTTCTCTCCGCAGCACTAGTCCAGCCCTCTTCACAATTCTTCCCGCCAACTTTTACCCTCTCCTTCCCACCCCCCGTACCCATCTCCTCTTTATTAGTATTTTTTAATAGGATGCACTGACAACTCAAAAATAATTCCTTGTCTCACTGAAGCCACGATGCCATCAATTGTAAGATGCACTGCTGTTTTATGGGCAGTAGAGGGAAAACACAAACATCAATGAAAGCGATCGAATGCAGAGGTGCCGTGTGGGGAAAATGTTGAGTTCAGAATCAACCACGTACGGGATGCTCTCGACAGAAGACTTAGAAACAGAGACGCTCATGTATGAAATTGAATCACCTGCAAACCCACCACGTACAGACACAGATCTGAGGGTGTTTGTATACAAGGCTTAGCCATACTGCACGCATATAGCCTCCTGTTGGTATCAGTAGATCATATGATAAATATTCTTCTCAACTGTGATTCTTCCACATTTTAAAATCATCAAACTAAATCCTGTTTTAGAAAATCTGGAAACTAAGAAAACTAGATCTGTTAACCCACTAACCCACGATAATTACCACCAACATTCTGGCTATCACATGATTTTCCTTGGCAGGAGTCACCCTCCCATTTTCAACAGTTTTGATGCGTACAGAGTGCTGGCCGTGGAGGCTATCGGGGAGTCGGGGAAGGGAGGGGACCGCTGGAGTTGGTGAAGCCCCAGCAGGAGCCAGGCCCATCCTCCCCATGGAGATCCTAGGTGCCCTGGGGCACCCCTCTGACCAGCTCCTGTCCAGCTGCTCCTCAGTCCTCGAGGCAGGCCCCCAACCTCCCAGAAACGCAAGGTCTGCAGCTCTAGGTGGGGGGTCACGTGACACCTCCATCAGTGGGGACCATGCAAGATCGTGAGACAGTTTGCTCTACTGCTACCCCAGCAGGTGACCGAGGACAGTAACGCCCCTGCCCACTCAGCCTCTTGGGGGCCACCCTGTTACACATGGAGACTCAAACCCACAGGACCAGAAGGTTCCGGGGACCACAAAGCCTGTGCTCCTATCCCAGTGATGGGGAGACTGAGGCCAGGAGCCACTCAGCCACCAGTCCAGTGACTTAGGACCTGAATCTGAGGGGATAACTGGACTGGAGGAATATGGGGTAGGGTGGCGACCCCTGAACTTCGCCCAGGCCTGAATGGTGTCCCCTTCACAGGAGGAAGAAAATGCCCTCCTGGTCTCAAAATAGCCTGAGCCTGGGTATTTGGTTGTGTGTCCTTGAACTTGTCAGGCCCCGCTGACAGGACTCCCGCCATTTCAGCCCATAAAGCAGGCCGGGCCAGGTGGCTCTGAGAAGGGACGAGCGTACTGAGACCTCTGCCCAGAAGCTGCTGTCACCCGCCCGCCCCTTGTCCTTCCCTGTTCCCACCCGCCCCCTCCCAGCCCTTCTCCGCCCCCTGCCCTTCCAGGGGCAAAGTATAACTGGGCCAAAGGGGCTGCCATTTCCGAGCGGAGGAGCCGGTTAGGCGAGGCTGGCCGCGCTGGGGGCACTAAGCCCCACCTCCTCCCCCCGGGGCCGCCAGGACCGACCTGCCCCTGCCTGTCCGCAGCTCACCATGGCCAAGCGGCTGCCCGCCCGAAGACTGGACGGGATCGACCACAACCCGTGGTAAGCGGCCGGGCCGGGCGGGCCTGGGTTTGGCGTCGCGGGGCGCACACCCGCCCCGGGAGAGCCGAGACCCAGGGCGGCGCGCGCAGCTCGAATCTCAGCTTTGCCGGGCTGGGCTGTGGCACGGGCCCCAGCTGCGAGGGGGCTCTGGGACGCCCCGCCAGGCCCTGGAGGAGGCGCCGCTATGGGTGCGCAGCGCGACCCCCCATGCTTCTGGGAGCCATGGGCCTCACGGCAGCTCAGGCTGCAGGCGAGGGCAGCCTGGCTGAGCCGGTCAGATCTTATCTGCTGCTGGTTCCAAACCCCAGGGGAGCCTGCGGCCACGCACACTTTTGGCCAGGGAGAGACGGCTCTGTGGATTGTGGTTTCATTTTTTTTAAGTTGTCAGTTGTTGCTTTTCCAAAAATCAGAACTTTTTTCTTTTACTCACCCCTTCCCACTCCCATACAGCACTGTGCTTCACAGAGATAAATACCTTTTTTTTTTTTTTAAGATTTATTTATTGGGCCCTCCCTGGTGGGGTGCAACTGTTAAAACGCAGCGCTGTGAGTCCCATCCCAGGCAGTGACCCACATGGCGCGGCAGACCTCTCCTGTCTCCCCACTGTGCCGCTCAGCAGTGTGCTTCATCAGTCTGCCTGTCTGGTGAATCCTCTCACCACCCCTCACCCCAGTTCTGTATGCATAAACAAAGAAATCTTTTTAAGAGATTATTAAAAAGCACGTAAGAACTGGGGTACAGGCCAGAGATGGGGGATGAGAGGATTTACCAGAGAGAGGGGGATGCAGAACAGGCTGATCCACTGAATCCGCTGCTGAGGGGAGCAGCTGGGAGACTGGAGAGGTCTGCTGCGCCCTGGGGGTCAGTTTTTGCTGCAGTATGCTTCATAGTGCTGCCCTTTAACCCGCGGACCACCAGGAAAGACCCTCAACTACTTCTTTTGGTCTTGGGTGTCCCCTGACATTTGGGATGAGGGAATTGTGGGATGGGGGCGAGGGGGAAAACCAGAGGCCCTTCCCGAGTCCAAATCAGGCTATCATTGTCCCAAGCCTCAGGCTGCCATCTGCCCTCTCAGTATCAATAAAGGCCACCTGAGAAGGGGAGAAGTGGCGCAGAGGGAGGCTGGGAGAGACAGGGAGACTCCTGACCCCCAGGCCCAACAACCATTGTGCAGGGGAGACCGAGGCCAAGACTCCATCTGCAGAGATGGACGGAGAAGGAGCTAGAACCAGAGAGGGACAAACACTAAAAGGGACCCCAGGCCCCTGCTGACCCCCAGGTGGTGGCCCCAAGATCTGGACCCTGGAGACCCAACCCAGAGGTCCTGGCTCCTCAGTCTGTCACCAAGGAGCACACACACCCTGCCGCTAGGTGCTGTGACTCTGGGCAGGTCACTGGCTCTCTGAGCCTCGGCAACTCTGTGTCTTCAGGGGCACTGTGGCATTCTGGGGAGGAGATGGCTGATTTTAGGCATGGCCACAGCACAGGCTTGGATTCAGACAGATGTGACTGAGCCACCCACTAACCAGGAGGCTGTGGGCAAGTCACCCCTAGCCTTCATGGGTCACAGGAGGGCGTCAGTGAGTCGTGAGAGCCTTCTAGGAGGCCTAAGTTTCTAGATAGTATAGGCCAGAATAAGCTGAAATTCTGCCAGAGCTGTGTTGCCTCCTTATTGGCGCCCTCTGCAGTTGGCTATAAGGATGTTTCCTTATCTTGGCTCCTAGTCAAAAAAGTTTGAATGCCCAAGGCTAGGCAATTTGCACAGTGGCCAGAGCACCAAGTCTCAAAATGTGATCCTCACACAATTCTTCAGGTCAGGGCGGATGCTAATTGGCTATAGTCTTTCTAGAATGAACCCAGTGCCTTGCTCCCCTGGCCCTGCAAGCTGGCAGTAGTCCAGGTTGGGGGTGAGGGGAAACTTGTGGTGACAGCGCCTTTGTCACCAGGGTGGAGTACAGCAGACTCGCCGCTGAATATGATGTCGTGAACTTGGGACAGGGCTTCCCTGACTTCCCACCCCCAGACTTTGCAGTAGAAGCCTTCCAGCAAGCTGTCAGCGGGGACTTCATGCTCAACCAGTACACCAAGGCTTTCGTGAGTCTCCCAGTGCCTCCAGGGTACTCCCCCCCACACAGCCTCAGAGGAGTCCCTGGGGACAAAAGCCTTATTCTTTTTAATGGCTGTATAATATTCCATCACCTAGATGTGCTGTGTGGTCTTGTTTAACCAGCGCTATGTTGGTGGAATGGTTCAGGTTGCTCATTATTTGCTCTGCCACTCTCAGGTATTACTGACATCAATTCCTGGAAGTGAAACTGGAGAATCAAAGGGCCTAAGCATATAAATGTGTGAAATTTGTCAAATTTCCCTCAGGAAGTTCCCTACCCAACCACTGGGCTCAGAGTCTGCAGGATCATCCATACTTTGGGTTAAACTTGTTGCCAACTGTGGCAAGAATCATGAATCTGTTTTATATCTTAAAGGTCTAGTATTTCAGTATTGCTTTTGTTTGGTTTTCCCTCCATTATCATCCTTTTCATTTGCATCACAGGCATCAGCAATTTATCTTTCATGACCTAGCTCATTTTTCTTTTTTTAAAGATTTATTTATTTGTGCATACAGAACTGGGGTACAGGCCAGAGGCTCAGGGGCTGCGAGAGGGTTCACCAAAGACCGAGTGGGGAGCAGAACAGGCAGATCTACAAAGTACACTGCTGAGGGGAGCAGCGGGTGGGTCAGGAGAGGTCTGCCGGGCCATGTGGTCACCTCCGGGGCAGGCGGGAATCCAACTTATGCGGAAGTGGCTTTAGATTCTCAGTGCAGCGCTTTAACCCGCTGCACCACCAGGCAGGGCCGACCTACCTCATTTTTAACTTGAGGCTGTAGCTCTGTCTTACTGCCTTGCAGAAACCCTTTATATATCAAATATCTCTTGCTTCATTCTCTTACATTGTGGTGTTTTTTCTTTGGCTATTAACTTTGCTCATGGTAAATTATGCTATACAGAACTGTGGTTAGGTCAGGCTTTGTGTTATTTAGATTAGTTTATTAAGGTAGTTTTGTTACTTAGTTTAGGCTTTGGCACTTGGCTTAGCCTTGAGTGCTTTCTAAGGGTCCTCAGCAAACACACAGGTTCAATCTTCCTCTCAAAGTGGGTGCACATCAAGCTGCAGCCTAAGGTCCTAGTCCTACACCTCACCTGTGGGTGGCCTTTGGTAAGTCATTTCCTTTCTTTGGGCCTCTCTATTCCTGCCTGTCAAATGGTGGTCATGAAGTAATACCTCACACGTAAGGCACACAGGTAAAGACCAATGTGTGTCTAGACCTCCACGGAGGCCTAGGCATGGTTGCCACTGCTTCCTGGGTGCTGTGCAAACACACTCTCTGCTCTCTGGTGCCCTGCCAAATACCAGGCCTGGCACAGAAGAGGCTTGTGGCAAAGGCTAGCGGAAGAGATGAAACAATTCACCCCACAGGGGCTGACTGTACCCCCTAGCCTGCTGCTAGAAGGTGCTAGAATTGCCTGGGGGCCACTGAACAGGAGGGGGTGCCCAGGCCACCAGGCAGCTGACCCCTGCTGTCCTGCAGGGTTACCCACCACTGACAAAGATCCTGGCAAGTTTCTTTGGGAAGCTGCTAGGACAGGAGATAGACCCGCTCACGAACGTGCTGGTGACCGTGGGCGCCTATGGGGCCCTGTTCACAACCTTCCAGGCCTTGGTGGATGAAGGAGACGAGGTGAGCAAGCAGGGTCTGGGCTGGATGGGAAGGGTCAGGGTGGTCCTGACCCTGATCTCTGACCCTCCTACCAGGTCATCATCATTGAGCCTTTTTTCGACTGCTATGAACCCATGACCTTGATGGCAGGGGGTCGCCCCGTGTTTGTGTCCCTGAGGCCGGTGAGGGTACTGCTTGGGGTGTGGGTGGGCATCTCCCTGGGAGATGGGAAGAAGGAAGGAGATGCAGGAGGCCAGTTTCTCCAGCTCAGGGCGTGCAGTGGTGGCGAGTGCGGGGATGGGGACTATTCGGAGGGGAAGGCCAGAGCCCCAGCATTGTTTGGGGAGTGTTGCTACCCCCTTCTACTTCCTCTTCCAGAGCCCCGCTGAGGATGGGAAGCTGGAGAACAGCAGCAACTGGCGACTGGACCCTGAAGAGCTGGCCAGCAAGTTCTCACCTCGCACCAAAGTCCTAATCCTCAACACCCCCAACAACCCTTTGGGAAAGGTAACTCGGGAGACCCCTGTTCAGAGACCCCTGTTCAGGGCTTCTGTAGGCTGGATCCAGGCCCCAGCGCTGTCACTAGGTGGCTGCTCTGGGGCCTCAGTTTCTTCATCCGTGCAGTGGGAGGGACGGAGGCCCCAGGGACAGGATAGATGTGCTCAGGGGAGTATCAGGTGGGGTGATGGAGCAGGCCGGGTGCCCCACTCAGCCCTGTGACCCCGGGACAGGGACTTCCCATATGTCAAATGGGAACATGGCAGAGCCAGGTCACAGAGAACCCCACCTTCCTCCTGTTCCCCTTTGCTCTCACACACTCCCACCTCACGCCCCTCAGCCCGACGCAGACCCGGAGCACCAGCTGGGTCCTACAAGTAGAGTCACTTTAACTCGTGCTGACGCTGTTTCCCTGGAGAAGACGGGGCGCGGGGGGTGAGCGCAGGTGCGCATGCGTGGCCAGCCCCCCCTCAAGTTCAGTTAGTTTACTCATGGGACGTGGAGACACATTTTTGGTTGATTAAAAGATAGGACCAAGTTTACAGATGAATAGCTGTCCCAACATCAGGAAACTGTTCCCCGGGGGTGGGGGAACACCCCCCCTTCTGGGAGCTCTCAGCACCCCCTACTATCGGGTTTTTATGGGGGCTTCCTTGGAAATTTTTAGCTCCCTTTCAGCTCCTCCTCTCTGGAGAAGTGGGGGGAAGGGGAGCTGAAAACATGGAGCTTCGAATTAACATTTGGTCTTTCTGATGCCCTGTCCCCATCCTGGACCCCATCAGATGGTTCAGGAGCCTGGTCAGGGACAGATCAAAGATAAACGTTAGGCTCCTGGTGCCTTCACCACTTAGAAAGTGATTTCCGGAGCTGTGCCAGGAGCCAGGGTAGGGACCACTAGACATATTCTCTACCATCTCACTACCAGTGGGCACTCAGTAGCATGGGACAGAAAAAGAGCCCCTGCACAGGCCGGCCAGCTCCCGGCTCCTCTCAGCAGGCTCTGTTGGGGAGGGCCCACAGGTGTACTCCAGGGCAGAGCTGGAGCTGGTGGCCGGCCTGTGCCAGCAGCACGACGTGGTGTGTGTCACCGACGAGGTCTATCAGTGGCTGGTGTTTGATGGGCACCAGCACATCAGCATCGGTGAGCCCAGCGCCCCGGGGGACCCTGCCTGGACACCTGTGCAGGCCCTTGAGCCCAATCAGGGCCTAGTGCTTAGCAGGAGGCAGGAGGCGGGTGGGGGGACGGTCACTTCTGCCCGCTGGGTTGTCAGAGGGTGAGATGAAGTGAGTTGGCCGCAGACGGCTGAGCATGGGCCAGGGGTCCACAGCATGGGCACCTAGGATTGCCCGCTGGGGCCTGGCCACCCCTCACTCGCAGCCCCATCTCAGCAACTGTTCTTTTCCCTGGGCAGCCAGCCTCCCTGGCATGTGGGAACGCACCCTGACCATTGGCAGCGCTGGCAAGACCTTCAGCACCACGGGCTGGAAAGTGAGTCCCCAAGGGTGGGGGTAACTTGCTGCCCCATTCTACCTGGCAGGCCAGGTGGGCCTGGGAGTTAAGACAGGCTCCTGCCAGGCTCTGGGCTTACTGCCGACCTGTGTTCCTGGTCCAGGTGGGCTGGGTCCTGGGTCCAGATCATCTCATGAAGCACCTGCGCACCGTTCACCAGAACTCCATCTATCACTGCCCCACACAGGCCCAGGTGAGGGGGGGGTGCGGAGCCTCATATTGGGGGAGGGGAGGAACAAGAAAGATCCCCAGCTGGCTGGGGGGCATCCCTCACTGGCATTGCGCATGCGCCCGCCAGGCCGCAGTGGCTCTGAACTTCGAGCGGGAGCAGCAGCACTTCGGCCAGCCCAGCAGCTACTTCGTGCAGCTCCCGAGGACCATCCAGCATTGCCGCGATCACATGATACGGAGCCTGCAGTCCGTGGGCCTCAGGCCCGTGGTCCCCCAGGGCAGCTACTTCCTGGTCACAGACATCTCAGACTTCAGTGAGTAGGACGGACCAGGCTGGGCAGAGCAGGCGGGCTGGAGGTGCTGGCTCAGCCTGCCTTTCTCTCTCCAGAGAAGAGGATGCCCAACCTGCCTGGTGCTGGGGATGAGCCCTATGACAGATGCTTCGTCAAGTGGATGATCAAGAACAAGGTGAGCTGGGCCGCTGCCAGGGCCCCTGTGTACGGTTTTACAGGTTGTGCACTGCTCAAGGGCGCCCAAAATCCAGTCCAGCCTCTGCCATCAGCCCTGGTAGAGGGCAGCCTTCACTTCAAGGAGCAGGGAGCTGGTTTTTAATTGCATGGAGGTGCCGTGTGTGCTGACAGGAACCCTGCCCATCAGCCTGTCTTCCCAGCTGGACAGTGAGGAGCGAGCCCACCCAGCTCAGACCTGCAATTCAAAAGGGTTTCTCATTCTCTGGTCCTTCCCTGTCTTGCGCTCTTGGCCTCCAACTTCCCTCTCTACACGGGAGGGACCTGAAAGGATGCCCTGGGATACTTTCCTGCCACCTTGCCTCAGTACCGGAAGGGCTGCACTGAAGCTAACTTTCTTCCCTCACCCCCATCCTGGGAACCACTGTCCCCTGGAGTTGAGGCTGGTGGCCCAAGGGCCGCACTGAGACATGGGCTTCCTCCTCCCAGGGCCTGGCAGCCATTCCAGTGTCTGTGTTCTTCAGCGCACCACAACAGAAGAACTTTGACCACTATATCCGCTTCTGTTTTGTGAAGGTAAAGGGCAGGGGGAAAGAAGCACCCCCAAGCTTCCCAAGGCCCGCTGGGGACCTGGGAGAGGGGGTCTGACCAGTCCATGCTGGCGCAGGATGAAGCCACGCTCCAGGCCATGGACAGGAGGCTGCAGAAGTGGAAGGAGGATCTCAGGCCCTGAAGTTGCCCCAGGCCTGCCTGGCCTGTCCCAGAGGCTGCACTGGGCTCTGTCTTGGTACAGGTTTCAGCCCTTTCCAGGTTGGAGGTGGATAGAGGCAGATAGAGGAGCCCTCCTCCTTGGTCTTGGGGGGTCAGGCAGCCCCTGGGTCTCTATTTCTGTCTCCCTGACCTGTGTTTCTCCCTTGGGTCAGGGTGTAGGGTCTTAGGACCCTGAATCCCAGCCCTGCCCCAAGCCTGCACAGGCCCCAGACTCGGGCACCCCTCCCTTTTCTTATCTCCCTTTGATCACAGAAAGCGGCCTTTAGGCTTGAGTCTTCAAACCAGTACTTTCTGCCCATAATAAAATGTTAAGTTATTCACACACTCATTGGCTGCTTCTCTGTGCTCTACGCCCTGGTGTGATGGCTGATGAGGACTCATCAGCTCAGTGAGTCACAGATCTGCCGCCCCTCATGGTATAAATGTTTTTGGTGACACAGAATCAAGGCCCAAAGAAGTGGAAACACTTGTGACTTGTCTGGCCACAACTCACTAATAATATAAGCAGGGTCCTCCCTGACAGCCTAGGGGTTAAGTCTCAGCGCCACCACCCTGAAGCCCCACCTAAACAGGTTAAAGAATAGCGCCATGAAGCTGTCTGCAGCTACTGCAGCACCAGTTCGATCCCTGGCCAGGGAGTGACCCCCAGCACGCAGCAAATCTCTCAGGTCTCCTGCTGCCCCCTCAGCAGTGTGTTTCGGTCCATCCGCCTGTTCTGCTCCCCACTGTCTGGGGATCCTCTCCCAAGAACTGGCCTGTACCCCAGTACTTGTATGCATAAATAAAGGGAATCTTTTAAAATGAAGTATTAATTAAAAGAGAAGGAGTAAATGAAGAATCTATACAGACCTGGATGAAGTGACCGCCCAGGCGTTGCCCACTCCGA